CAGCGGTGCAGTGTTGCTGGCAGCATTTGCTGAGCATCAAAGAATTCTTTCTAAATTTGTCATTTGGAGAAAGGCTTCACAGAAACTGAAGCCTTTATTTTAGGAGCTCCCTGCTTTGATGAAGTTGACCTACTATTCTAATTCCTTGATAAGTAGCTTGGCTTTTCTCATCTCAACTATGGATGATAATAAATCCCATTTAAAGAAAATCTGTAGTTAATAGTATCTTTAAAAGTCCACAGATCCAAGCTCATGTTCTACATCACGGCAGGCTCAGGCTCTGACGGAGCAACTGGTTCAGCAGGCACATAAGGAGCATGCTCTCCTGAACTGGAACCTGCCGAGCTTCAGAGACACCGTAACGCTAACCCTAACCCTACATGAGGCTTCTCCAGAAACTGTGACTAGTAGGGCCGGACCCCACAAAGCTAGAATGATCGAGAAGGTGTGGTAGTGCCATAAGGATAGACATGTAGATCAATAGAACGGAAATGAGGATCCAAAATAAACCCTTAACATCTATGTTGATTTTTTTTAAGCTGGAAAAACAAATATTTTTACACAAGAGCTGTGTGAGTCATACGGATTTTAAGCTAATATTCCATAAGTGGCAATTGCTTTTCTGGAAGTTGCTCAAATAGTGGTTTCAGTAATCTAATTCCTCTTTCCTGACTGTACAGATCACCATAATATAAGCTATACATAAAGAGCCTCATTTAGACAGGTAAGCTATACTTCTTCATTTTACAGATGTAGAGTCAAACGGAAGTTATAGATACAAAATTATCTCTAGATTAAAAAAGAACAATGATAGCAGGTTATCGCTTGTGGTTCTCTTGCCATAAAATGTGTCCATAGCTGTGGCCTTCACATTGAAATATGCATTAGTGTCCCCAAAGCCTTCCCAAGGAGTGAAGAAGTATGATCGTTTTTAAGAAGAGGACTTTCCATATTCTTAACTTCTATGTGTCCTTTTACTAAAACTGAATTGTGGCAGCAGTTGTAGTGATGCTCTCTCCTTCTTTGTAAATAATTTATTAAAGTAAAATTCACAAAATATAAAATGAGCCATTTTAAAGTGAACAACTCAGTAACATTTAAGACATTCACAATCTTGTGCTACCACCACCTTTATCCAGTTCTAGAACATTTCCATTACTCCAGAGTAAAACCCCTCACCCATCAAGCAATTTCTCTTCATTTTCCTCTCCCCCCTAGCCCCAGACAGTCACCAATCTAATTTCCTTATCACTTGATTGATCTCTCCTAGATATTTCATATAAATAATGTCATATAATATGGGACCTTTTGTCTCTGGCTTCTTTCACATAGCATAATGTTTTGGGGGTACATCTACCTTATAGCATGTATCGTTGTTTCATACCTTTTTATGCCTGAGTTATATTCCATTGTACAGATAGGCCACATTTTATCTAATCATCAGTTGATGGACATTTGACTGTTTCCACCTTTTGGCTATTATGAATAATGCTGCTATGAACATGCATGTACATGTTCTTTTTTAAATACTTGTTTTTAATTCATTAGGGCATACACACACACACACACACACACACACACACATATACATACCTGAGAGTGGATTCACATACATGGTCATTCTATACTTAACTTCTGGAGGAACTGCCAAACTATTTTCCACAGTGGCTGTACCATTTTACATTCCCACCAGCAATGTATGCGGATTTGAATTTCTCTACATCCTCGCCAAATTATTTTCCTTTTTTCTTTGCCCCCAAAGTTTTGTACCCTTGACTAACACCTCCACTGTTTCCCTCTCCCCGAAACCCTTAGTAAACATCATTCTACTCTCTATGAATTTAATTATTTTAGATTTCACGTAAAAGTGGGATCATGTAGTATTTGTCTTTTTGTGTCTTCCTTATTTCATGTAGCATAATGTCTTCCAAGTCCATCCATGTTGTCCCAAAGGGAAGGATTTTCTTTAGGGCTTGCATGTATATACCACATTTTCATTATTCATTCATCCATCAGTGGACACTTGGGTTGTTGCCATATTGTGACTATTGAGAATAATCCTGCAATGAACTTGGACATGTAGATACCTGTTTGAGTTCCTGATTTCATTTCATTTGGATATATACCCAGAAGTAGGATTGTTAGACTAAATACTTCTATTGTTCTTTTTGGGGGGGAACCTCCATACTGTTTTCCATAGTGACTGCACCATTTTACATTCCCACTGACAGTGTGCAAGGGATCCCTTTCTCCACATCCTCACCAGCACATTTGGGTTTTTTTTGATAGTAGGCATCCTAACAGGTGTGAGATTATGCCTAATTGTGGTTTTGATTTGCATTTCCCTGATGATGAGTGATGTTGAGGATGTTGTGTACTTGTTGGTCGTATTCATTTTCTTTGGAAAAATGTTTAGGTCCTTTGCCCATTTTTAAAATTGAAGTATAGTTGATGTACAATATTATGTAAGTTACAGGTGTACAGTATACTGATTCACAATTTTTAAAGGTTATATTTAAATTTATAGTTATTATAGAATATTGGCTGCAGTCCCTTTGCAGTACAATATATCCTTGCAGTTTATTTTGTACATAGTAGCTTGCACTTCTTAATCCCCTACTCCTATATTGCCCCTGCCCCCTTGCCTCTCCCCACTGGTAACTACTAGTTTGTTCTCTTTATCTATACGTTTTTTTTTTAATATTCATTAGTTTCTTGTATTTTTTAGATACCAAATGTAAGTGATTTCATACAGTATTTGTCTTTCTCTGACTTATTTCACTTAGCGTAATACTCTCTAAGTCCATTCATGTTGTTGCAAATGGCAAAATTTATTCTATTTTATGGCTGAGTAGTATTCCATTGTGTGTGTCTGTGTGTGTGTGTGTGTATGTATGTGTGTGTGTATATATATATCCCCCACATGTTCCTTATCCATTCTTCTGTTGATGGTCACTTGCATTGCTTCCATGTCTTGGCTATTGTAAATAATGCTGCTATGAACATTGGGGTGCGTGTGTCTTTGCAAATTAGTGTTTTTGTTTTTTCAGATATATACCCAGGAATGGAATTATTGGCTCATATGGTAGTTCTATTTTTAGCTTTTTCAGAAGCCTCCATTACTGTCTTCCCCAGTACCTGTACCAATTTACATTCCCACCAACGGTGTACTAGGGTTCCCTTTTGTCTACATCCTTGCCAACATTTGTTATTTGTGTTCTTTTTGATGATAGCTGTTTGGACAGATGTGAGGTGATATCTCATTGTGGTTTTGATGAGCATTTTCTTGATGATTAGTGATGTTCAGCATCTTTTCATGTACCTGTTGGCCATCTGCATTCCTCTTTGGAAAAATGTCTGTTCAGTTCTTCTGCCCATTTTTTAAATTAGGTTGTTTGTTTTTTTGATGTTGAGTTGTATGAGCTGTTCATATATGTTGGATAGTAATCCCTTATCACTCATATATTTTTTTTCCCATTCAGTAGGTTATATTTTCATTTTGTTGATGGTTTCCTTTACTACAACATAAGTTTTAGTATGTTATGTTTTTATTTCCATTCATCTCAGTGTATTTTATAATTTCCCTTCTGATTTCTTCCTTGACCCATTTGTTATTGGGAGTGTGTTGTTTAATTTTCATGTAACTGGGAATTTTCCAGGTGCCCGTCTGTTAATGATCTCTGTTTTCATTCCATTGTGGTTGGAGAACACAATTTGTATGATTTCAAGCTTTTAATATATATTGAGATATTTTTTGTAGCCTAGCATGTGGTCTATCTTGGAGAATGTTCCATGTGCAGTTGAGTAGAATGTGTTTCCTGTTTTGAGGGGATACATTCTATAGATGTCTGGTAGATCTAGTTGGTTTATAGTGTTGAAATCTTATATTCCCTTTTTGTTTTTCTAACTGTTCTATCTATGTTTGAAAGGATCATATTGAGATCTCCAACTATTATTGTTGATTTGTCTGTCTTTCCCTTCAATTTTGTCATGTTTTCCTTCATGTATTTTGGACCTCTGTTTTTAGGGGCACATATGTTTAAAATGTTTTATCTTCCTTCTGGGTTTATCCTTTCATCATTATGTCAGTCTTTGACTACTGTAACAATTTTTGTCTTAAAGTCTATTTCAGTAGTATAGCTCTTCCAGCTCTCTTATGGTTGCTATTCTCATAGTATACCTTTATCCATCCTTTTACTTTCAACCAATTTCTGTTTTTGCTCTTTTTTTCTGATTAATTATTGAGTGATTGCTGCATATAAAGCTAGACCTGTTTCATCTCTGCCTTTCCCATTACTTAAATTTTGTTTCCTTCTACTAGCTCCAATTGTAGGAACAGTTATAGCATAACCTTTTTTTGGCTTCATTATTTTTATTTTTGTTTTTTTAACAGCATAGTCTTGATGGAAAAGTCATGCATGGCATGGCATGTAATTGATGTGCTAGAATTCCATAATTTTAAAGGAATATGGTTGAACCCATAGACCTAATATTACAGCAGTAACTACATTTATATAACATATTTTGTTGGTATTGTAACCACTTTTACTTTATAAGACACTTTCATATTCTACTGGGAACATAACATCAGGTCACCCCTGGGCGATAGTATCTGTGATTATGGCGCCAGGTTGAGAGTGGTGGAAACCAAAGCGCAGAGCTTTCAGGGGTTGTGGAACTTTCAGGGGTTGTGCTCAAGCTCTGGAGCTCCCTTAACTGTGGTCATCTGAAGATCTGGGCTCAAGTCCCAGCTCCACTCATCACCAGGTCAAAGGTGGGGTCACATCCACTTCACCATCCATCCTCTGAAGAAAAGTGAGCAGAACTCGACTCATCTAAACCTTCTTGTATATCTTTGTCATCCTCAGAGTGGTTCTTCAGAGGCCTTAAAAGAGGTCTCAAGGACCAAGACAGGGGTGCTCTACTCGTGCTGTGACTTCCCTGAGCCCTGCAGTGGCTGCTATATTTTGTTACTAAATGTGCCCCCTTCCCCCTTTTAGAGCGATGGGACCATGTCACCACCACAACCAAAAGACCGGGAGTGACCAGAGCTCCAGCGAAGCCTGCAGGTAACACGGCTGTTTTGAGGAGGGCACTTGGGAAGGATCCTGTGGAGCTCCCTCTGGGGTAGTATCTAGTTGAACTACCCATAGTGTTAAGCCCTGTGTGTGCATTACCAACTGAGACCTTCATCTCAACATGGGGCTTCAGTTAATAGAGCATATACCTGGCCAATTGGTATAATTTCTGTGTTTTTTAATGAAGTCCCACTTAGGAAAATTTCAAGATTAAAATATATTTGGATTTCCTCCCCTTTTCAACTAATTCGCAATCTAAAATAGGGGAAGACAGAACTGTTTAAGTTGTCTGAAGCCCATCACATACTTCCTTTAGGCAGATGGAGCATTTTGGAGTGGCATTTGTTTTACAGTGTCATCTTTCAGTAAAGGATTTTGAAACTTGTTGCTTCGTTGGGACTCTTTCTTGGAGCTGTTTTAACCTTTCTCCAGATGGGCCATTTTAGTGTTCAGATGTCATCACTGCTGTAAAGAGAAAGCTAGTGTTGGGGTGGGGGACACAGTCATTGCTCCCATCTGGCAACTTGTTACTGGTACTTAAGGTGCATGCTACCATGTTCCTTGAAGTAGATGGCTACCTTTCTTCTGAAGAGACAGTCATGACCCAAGAGTTAATGCTGCTTTATGATTTGTCCCATGTCTTCACATTTGCAGCCTCTAAGTTGTGCATTGTGATCACACAACCTCCCTCTTGATTGTCCAGTTTATGGACTCTATGCAGCTGGTTTTGAATCTTGGGTTAACACCTATAATTGGTGTGTATACTGTTAAAGCCATCTGACCGCTGGCTGAAGCAAAGCATGTATGGGAGTATAAATTAGTTGAGTGCGGGAGGACGAGGTAAGTTAGAGGAGGAGGTTGAGTGCACAGGCCAGAACTGTAGCTCCTGGTTAGGGTGTAGCTCATTAACTCCCACAGCCCACAGAGCCACTCCTGGCCTTGCAGAGTTTGGGGCACGTCGAGGCCCAGGAGAAACCTGCTACAGTGGTTCTCAAACTTTTGGTGTCAGAACTCCTCAAATTATTGAGGATCCTCTATTGAGATGTGTCACATCCATCAATATTTATCATCCTTGGACTTAAAACTGAAAAAACTTTAAATATTTTTATTTATTCATTTAAAATGAACAATTATAAAACCACATCAGTTAACATAAATAGCATATTTTTGTGATAAGTAACTGTGTTTCATAAGACCAAACAGAATTTAGTGGGAAGATTTTTTTGTGTGTATTTTTGAAAATTTCTATGATCTCTGTCTTAGTGGAGGAGTTGGCCTCTAATGTCTGCTTCTAGATTCAATTCTTGTGATGTATTGTTACGGTTGAAGTATCTGAAGGAAATATGGCCTCACATAGATATGCAGCTCAAAAAGGGAGGACTATACCAATAGACTTTTCATGTAATTGTGGACATTCTTCTTTGACAGGACACCAAAAGCTCAACCAGGGGTTGTTCCGTACAGGTGAAGTGAAGTGTGGAACCATATTAATGAACTTTCCATCCTTGACCCCATTGAACCCCTAGGGACTTTCTTACCCTTTGAGTGGATCTTTTACTCAGTGATGGTCTGGGGGCATCATGCACTGGTCACTGGGAACATGTCGGTGCCCTGACTTCCGTATATGCCTTTCCGTGTTGATACATTTCATTCTACATCAAAACATCTCATTTGTTACTATCACCAACCATCTCATTGGAAAAAGTCTTGAATGATTGGGAAGCTGTCAAGTTCACAGTAGTGGTTTTTCAAAATTCTTGATGTTGCTTGAAATCTTATATTTTATCATTGGCAACAACAAAAAATACTGTCAGTTGTTTTCCTCGAAGTGCTGGGCTCCCTTCGTTCATTTGCAAGGAAATGTCTGCCAGATTCAAGTCAGCATAACCAGAGTTAGTCTGTCATTCAATCTTTCAAGGAAGAACTTTGTGTGAGAAAAGGTCGGAGATCCCACTGTCTAGCAGCTAACGCTGCTTACAAGTGACACACAGTCACACAAGTGCTTTTCCGTGTGTCAGCCTCTGTATTTTGATGGGACACTGAAGTACTTTAAACATACTTGCTGTTTTATCAGAGTATTTAAAGGCCAAAGTTGAAAAAAATTAATAATTTTTGGCTTGTTTTAGTTGTCCAGTGCTGCCTGACATTACCACAACCTTGGTGGTTTAAAACAATTTTCAATGATTTTCTATGTTTCCCTATCCTGCTGCAGTCTAGGCATTGAGATGTCAAACCGTTTTTGACAAAATGACCTTGATTATCAAGTTTCTCTTTGCCTAACTTTTAAAAATTTAATCTTTTATTTTAACTCATGACAGATTTACGTGTAGTTGTAAGAAGTACTACAGAATGATTCCTTATCCCCGCCACCCAGTTTTCCCCCATGGTAACATGTTGCGGATTGAACTACAATATCACAGACATTTGTTTTTGTTTTTTTTTTAAATAAAAAAACTTCATATGTACTTTTTAAAATGTTTTTATTGAGGCAACATTGGTTTCTAACATTATATGTTTCATGTGTATAATCTTGTATTTCTACTTCTGTGTACACAACATCATGCTCACCACCAGAAACTGAATTTCCACCCATCACCCTACAGTAGATCCTTTACCCATTTCACCCTCCCCCTCGCCTCTGGGAACTACTACTCTGTTCTCTGTATCTATGTGTTTGTTTTTATTTGTCACAACCATTTTATTCATATTTCCAAGTTCTGTTTGTACTCATTTCTGTGTGTGTGTTTAGTTTTATGCAATTTTATCCCACATGCACGTTTGTGTAACTGCCATGACAATCAGGCACAGAAAAGTTCCATCACCATAAATATTGTTGTTCGGTGGGATATTTACATGTCACTTAGAACCTGATGGTTGGTTGTGTTTGCCAGTTATACATTCTTCTAAGGTGTCAAATGTTATCAAATACATGAGCCTTACTTGTTCATAGCATTTCCTTATTGTTCTTTTAATAGGTGCAGAATCTATAATGATAGCCCCTGTTTCATTCCTTATATTCATGTTTTGTCCTTTCTCCAATTATATTCGTTAGTAAGGCTAGATACAGATATGTCTATTTTATTGACTTTTTGAAAGAACAAGCTTTGTTTTTGTTGATCTATATTTCTTATTTTCAATTTCATTGATTTCTGCTCTATATTATTTCCTTCTGTCCACTTGCTTTGGGTTTATTTTTGTTTTCTAGTATCTTGAGTTAGGAACTTGGATTATTGATTTGAGACCGTTGTCTCTAACTTAAACATAGTTTAGTGCTATAAACTTCCCTTTCAGCACTACTTTAGCTGCATCTCACATATTTTGATATGTTGTATTTTCATTTTCATTAGTGCTATTTATTCTTAAAATTTCCTTTTGAGACTTTCTCATTGACCCTTGTTTTATCTAGCAGTGTTTTGTTTATTTCCAAGTGTTTAGAGATTTTCTTGTTTTCTCATGTTTGTTTCTAGTTAGATTCCATTATGGTCAGAGATAACACTTTATAATTTCAATACTTTAAAATTTGCTGAGGTTTATTTTCTGATTCAGGATGTGATCTATTGGTGAATATTCCATGGATGCTTAAACAATTATTGTGCTGTGATTTGGTAGTATCATGCCAATCACATCCTGATAGTTGATTGTGTTGTTCAGTTCTTCTGTATCCTTGCTTGTTTTCATTCTAGTAGTTCTGCCAGTTGCTGAGAGTAGAGTATTGAAGTCCCCAACTATAAATTGTGGATTTGTTTATTTCTTCTTTTATCTTAATGTGTTTTGAGACTCTGTTGCTTGGTACATGCACATTTAGGATTGTTCTGTGTTCTTGGTGAATTGATCCTTTATCATTATGTGACATCTCCCTTTATTGCTAGTGAGAACTATCAGGTCATGTCTTACAATGTTTTTTTACACTTTCCGAAAGATTCACACTTATAATTCTTTAATCTATATACAACCCCAAGGCTCTATCCAAAAAAGATAGGTAATATATTGTAAATTACCTGGGTAGTTTAAAGATTACATTATTGGTCTGTAAAACTCATTGAGGCTTTTTCCCCAGAAACATTGCTGTTTCTAAGTGTTTGCTGTGTACAGCACTGTCTATGCCTTTTTCCTCCCTTACATTTCCTTTCCTTCTGCTACCTCCAAATGGAGGAACAATTATGGCAGTCTCAAAGGTCAAGAAAAATTGTTGGAAAACTCATGCATGGCATGGTCCCTGCAGTGGCTGCTATATTTTGTTACTAAATGTGCCCCCCTCCCTGCTTTTAGAGAGATGGGACCATATCACCACCACAACCAAAAGACCGGGAGCGACCAGAGCCTGCAGATAAAATGGCTTCTCTGAGAAGGGGCACTAAAGGAAAGGCCATGTGGAGCTCTCTGGGGGGCAGTGTCCACATGAACTTACCTGTAATTTAACCAATTGACTTTCTCTTTTATATTTTGGGGTCCCCTGAAGCAGATGATTTTAACTTGGCTGATGCCTTGGATGATCGAAATGACCAAGATGGTGGCCACAGGAAACCGAGTGCGGGAGGAGGAGGTAAGTCAGAACTGGTTGAGCACAGTCATTAACTCCCACAGCCCACAGAGCTACTCCTGGCCTGGCAGCGCTGGGGACACTTTAAGGCCCAGGAGGAACTCACGACGGTGGTTCTCAAACTGTTTGGTTTCAGGACTCCCCAGATTATTGAGAATCCTCTATTTAAATGTGTCACATCCATCAATATTTATCATGTTTGAACTTAAAACTAAAAAAAAATAATTTAAAATGAACAACAGTAAACTCATACATGTTAACATAAATAGCACATTTTATGGGAAATAACTATGGCAAGATAAAAAGAAATTCAGTGAAAAAAGTAGCATTGTACATTTTTGCAAATTTCTGTTACGTCTGTCTTAGTGAAAGAGCAAAACTCTCACCTCTGCTTCTGGATTTGGTTGTGACATGTTACAATTGATGCATATGAAGGAAATCTGGCCTCATGCAGATACGCAGTTGAAAAGGGGAAGAAAATGTAAATAGACTTTTCATATCATTGATTCATATCATTTTTCTTTGCTAAGACACCCAAACTCGACCAGTGGTTGTTTCTTATAGATTAAATGCAGTGTAGAATGTGAAATCACATCAGTGAATTTTTCATGCTTGATTTCATTAAACCCCACAGGGACTCTATTATACTTTTGATGGGACTTTTGCCCATTCATAGTTTTGTGCATTGGTAATTGGGAAAATATTGAGGTTCTGAGGCCTTTTGAACTTCCAGATAATGCTGTGTTTCAGTACACAGTACCCAAAAGTCACCACCCATCTCATTAGAAGAAGTTTTTAAGTATTGGGAAGCTGTTATGTAGTACTTGTTGCCAATCATAATATTTCAAACAAAAATGTTTGGAAAAATCTATATCTACCACTGTGAGCTTAACAGCTCCACAGTACTTAAAAGACAGTTTCTAATGAGAAAACATCTGCCAAATATTCAAGCCACCAAAACCATAGTTTGCCCATCATTATTTCTTTCTAGTAAGAGTGACCTTCCATGACAGAAAGCAGCTAATACAACTCAGAGCTGAAACAGTCACACAAGTGCTTTTGTTCTAGTTTGTGTGTGTGTGTGTGTGTGTGTGTGTTTTGGTGGGGGGAGGTAGTTAGGTTTATTTATTTATTTATTTTAGTGGAGGTACCAGGGATTGAACCCAGGGACCTCATGCATGCTAAGCACTCACTCTACCACTGAGCTACACCCTCCCCCCTTTACACACGCTTTTTTGAGTCAACTATAGTACCTCGGAGTGGAACAGAAATGCTTCCCATTTCATCACACAGAGTGTTAGAAGATTTGGCCTCGGTGGTTGAGCTATAATAAAATTAATTTTTCTGTTTCCTTGTGTCAGTTTTCAATTGCTATGTTTTGTTTTCTCCAGGTTTTTCAGACAAGGACCTTGAAGACATATTAGGGGGTGGTGAATACAAACCTGACAAGGGTAAAGGTAGGAGCATTGATTTGTTCAAACACCTTTTTCTTGTTAAAGACATGATTACACAGCTCCCAGGTTGATTGAGCTGTTCTTACTCAGCCTCTGGGAAATAAAAGATAGTTCCTAGACACCTCTGCTTGCACTTTGGGGCTCACTTGGAATGATGTGGTCTATGCAGCTTAAGCAGGGGGGTTTATAAGCCAACGTGGAAAAGCCACCCATTTCCCTTAATGTTCCCTAAGCCAGGGTCAGGGAATGTGTCCATACAAGGGGAGGCTGCTGAGGCAGTCCCAGTTACAGTAACTGAAGGTCAGGAGACTTATTGGGAACAGCCTACCCAACCTGGGGAGCCTGTTGCTCTCAGAATAGGGGGAGCAAAATTCATCAGGACAAGAATTATTTTAAGAGATCCATAGCAAGTCAGGTATCTTTAAAAATATCATTTTATTTTGAAGTTTGTTAAAAAAAAATTGTTCAGAAGAATTCCTGTGTGCCCTTCACGCAGTTTCCCCTGATGTCTTAACATAACTATAGTTACATTGTGAAAACCAGGAAACTGACACTGGTACCTTATTGTTACTAATTAATGTGCAGACCTTATGCAGATTTCATCAGATGTTGTGTGTACTTCTGTGTGTGTGTGTGTGTGTGTGTGTGTGTGTATACACATGCACACATGGGTCAATGAAATTTTATCACATGTGTAGATTTGAGTAACCACAACCCCATTTGGGATGCAGAATGCACAACAGTACCATCACCACAGGGAAACGCCCTCATGTTAACCCTTCATAGTCACCACCTCCCCCGAGGCCAGATAGTTTTAGTACCCCCCAAACAACCAAAGATTTAAATCTATTTTATTTTCATATGTTCTCAAGATCTGATCCTAGTATGGAGACGATACTAGCCAGACTTGATATGGCAAAATGAGCTAGGGTTGTAATTTGTGATCGCTACTTATGGTTGCAACCTGTATTGGTGGTATGTTGTCATTATAACTTAGAGTTACAGTAATAAGCTTTTATAGGTAAATATTGTGATGATAACCTGTTGTGATGCTGAGTTGTGAGGGTAACATTTTGTGGCAATACCCTATTGTGGTTATGCCTTGTGGTTGTGAGTGTAACAATTTAGGAGTGTAACATTTCATGGGTGTATCTGGTGGAACCCTGCTACACTCCCCACATTCTAGACTGTGGCACTAGTGTTTGCTCCTTTCTTGTATGAACTGTGTGCCTTTCTCATGGAAACAGTGTTGTCTCCTGATTAAAGGATCCTGTAGTCAAATTTGTCCTTCACAACACCTTTCCAAACAGTGTCATTTTGAGTAAAAAGCTCTAAAAACCTCTAACTGAAACTCACAGGTGTCAGGAGAACATGGAACATTTAAAGGGCAAACCCAGCAAATTAGCCAATTACTCCAGGATGACAAACTGTATCTCCAGATGGTGAGATAAGAGCGGTAGTAGGGTGTGTAAGCACGCACGCGAGTGAACGTCTCAGTGACATGTCGAGGGGTTTCCTTATTAAAAGTACCTGTTTTAACAAGGAAGGAGTGTTAGGAAATTCTTTAATTAGGCTCATATTTGAACTTCTCTTGTAAGGAATAATCAATTGTTACCTTAAGTTATACCATCTGTCATGACAAGTGTCAGGAAAAGAAAATAGAGTTTCGGCCAAAAATACAAGTGGGGCTATACTTCAGTCAAAAAAAAAACTGAAACATGGTTAGGATAAGCACATGATGAAATTCTCAGTCACTGTCCTCTATGCAAACATGCTAATGCCATGTATGAAGTTAAAACATCACCTTTAAATGAATGATGATCTTTAGCATAAAAACCATCCTAATTAATGCATTGGCTAACCTTGGGTGTTAGGCACATAGACTCAGTTCTAATTTTGGAGTCTATTTCTGAAATAATGTATTGTCTATTGTATATTTTTTCCAAGAAAATATTTCTAATGGTGCCGTAGGTGCCCCATGTTTTGTCTATAGGTAGCAGCGACAATCTCTCATCAACAGGTCCAATCAGCCCCAGTCCCTTCAGCCTCCTCCATTCCCTAGCATTTTCACTGACTGAGAAGCTTGAGGCCAGTCAGTTTCACTTCCTCATTGTCTCATGTGCAGTCTACATCCTGGTGTATGCAAGACTCTCCTCGCATTCCCCCAGAGTTGCTCTTTGGTCCCCAATGATTTCTTGGTAATCACAGCCCTCTGTCTTGTGTGAGCTCTGCAGCATTTTACTTTGATGATCACTCTTGCCTGCTGGGTCAATTTCCTTGGGTGTCCAATTCAGTATGTCATTCTCCTCCCCCATTGGAATGGAAGGGTGTTAGAAATTAAGATCTCAGCGTTGAGTATATTCATTAGTGGGATGTCGCTACTTCTATACCCTTGAAGTGGGAAGAAGTAGGAAATGGGAAGTATATGGATGCCTTTTAGACCATGTATCCATATGGATCTATAATTATTTCTGTATCTATCCATCAGCAGCCATATTAACCTAAACATGAGTTCATACTTCTATCTTTTGGCAGTAGATTACAGTTGGAGACATATTTTAGTATTTTTTTCTTGCTCATCTGTAACTTCCCCCTCTAAGAATGAGACACCTACCATTCATCTGTTGGCTTACTTGCTCAATTCTGGTACCATGCATGTATAACACAATCAGAATCATTAACCCATAACCCTGTGAGAAACAATTTTACCAATTACATTCCAGTGTTTTTCTTCTTTTGTTTTTACCTTACAGTTTTAGTCAAAGTACCATTTTTTGTGTATATGATGAGAACTGTTAGGATTTACTCTGTTAAAGATTTTCATATATAACGTACAGCAGTGTAATGATATTTATCATGTTACAAAGTGCCATTTTTTTAAGGTTATTTGGGTAGCTCTTTTATTCGCCCTCCATTCAGTGCAGTTACAACATACAGTTATATTGCAGATAGTCATTTGTCACAGTCTGCATTTCATCCTGGGATCCCCCACCAACCTAGTTGATGTTTTGTTTTGTTCTTTTGCTTGCATACGTTAAAGATCACTCTTTGTGATATACAGTTGTTTGGGGTTTTACAGATGTATATATAGTCATGTGTCCTCCACCTTAAGTACCATACAGAACAGTTCTGTCACCAAAAAGTTCTTCTATACACCCCTTTGGTACTCAGCCACTCTCTTTCCTCAACTGTAATCATTCTCCATTAGTGCAAACACTAATCAGGGTCTTTTTTGGTGGGGGGAGGTGATTAGGTTTATTCATTTGTTTACTCATTTTCAGTAGAGGTACTGGGTATTGAACCCAGGACCTCATACACATTAAGCATGTGCTCTACCACTAAGCTATACCCTCCCCCACTAATCTGTTTATTATCTCTATAGTTTTACCTTTTCTAGACTGTCACATAGTTGGAATCATACAGTAGGTAGCCTTTCCAGACTGGCTTCTTTCACTTAGCAATATGCATCAAGGGTTCCTACATGTCTTTTCATGTATACCTCTTTAGAATGGTAAGTACTATTCTGTTGCCTGGATGTACCACAGTTTGTCCATTCACCTAGTGAAGGATATCTTGGTTATATTCAGTTTTTTGGTGATTATGAATAAAGCTGCTATAAACACTTACATTCAGGGTTTTATGCAGACATAAGTTTTCAGTCCACATGGGTACATACCTAGGTATATGATTGTTGAGTCATACAGTAAATCTATCTTTAACTTTACAATAAACTTCCCAGCTGTCTTGTACAATGGCTGTACCACTATACTTTCCCATGAGCAATGAATGAGAGTTCCTGTTGCTCCATATCCTCATCAGCAATTGACAATGTCATGTTTTTTAAAAAAAATTTAGACATATCTAATAGTTGTATAGGGGTATCTAATTGTTTTTTCATTTGTATTTCCCTAGTGGGAAGTGATGTTGAACATCTCTTTCTTTTACATTGTTCAGAGTTTTTGCACATATCAAAAATTAAGTTTGCTTTTATCAGCTGTTTTTTAACCTAGATGCAAGTCCTTTATTGGGTATATGATTTTGAAAATATTTTCTCCCAGTCTGCAGCTTGTCTTTTCCCTTTCTTAATAGTATTGTTTATCCAGTAAAAATATTTGTTTTTCGTAAAGTTTGATTTATCAATTTTTTTTCTTTTATGGATCATGCTTTGGTGTTTAAGAGCAACCAAGTTCATGATTTTTTTCTTATGTCCTCTTCTAAGAGTTGTATAGTTTTAGCTTTTACATTTAGGCCTTTGTTCTGTCTTTTAGTTAATCCGTATATGGTATGAAATAAGGGTCCGACTTCATTCTTTTTGCATGTGCATATCCACTTGTCCTGGTGCCACTTGTTGACAAGATTATCCTTTCCCCACTGAATTGTCTTCACTCCTTTGGTGACAATCAATTGACCATAAATGTAAGACTTTGTTTCTAGACTCTCAATTCTGCTCCTTTGATGTCTGTGGCTGGCCTTCAGCCAATACCAGCCTCTCTCTGCTGGGCCTGTGCTCAGCTTTGGGGTATCCAAGGCTTATGTGGAGAGTGTATCAAGCCCCCTGTGGTTGTGTCACCGCTCTATTAAATCCCTGGCTAGTTGACTGGTTGGCTTGCTCAGCCTAAAGAAACTGCTGGTTTTCCCTGTTCACTTGCCACTGAGATTGCTCCCACAATGCTCCAAGTCACGTGGTTCCCGTTTGGCAGCTGCAATGCAGTTGCTGGTTTTCACGGCCTGTCCACCTCTCCCCAGTTGATCAAGCTGCTGAAAGACCTGGAGGAAGGGGAAATATGAGTAGGAGTCCAGCTGTTCTCACTGAAACTAAATGTATTTCCTGAAGTAGCTGTCTTGGGTTGTCCAGGGTTATAGTTGCTTTTTGAGAAGAGTATTGATTGACCTCCTCAGTCCCTCTTGCCAGAAGTCCTCTCCCCTAGTATCTTTTGAATCTGGAATATTCTTTCTCTTTGCCTCCCTCAAGCCCAGGCCCATATCATCTCCCCTTGGTGTCATTACCTTTATCTTTTAACTGATCTCCTGGCTCCAGTTTGTCCTCCATGCAGCTGCCAGAGAGAACCATCAGGAAAACGATCTTGTCAGTCCTCTGTTTAAAACTACTGTGTAATAGTGAAAAGACAAACAGCCCAATTTAAAAACGATCACAAGAGACACTTCAAAAAGGAAGTTCTATGAAGGTGCTCAAAATCATTATTTGGGAAATGCCAATTAAAATCATGATGACCTATCACAGCACAGCCACCAGAAAGGCTTGAAGCAGAAAGACTGACAATACCAAATCTTAGCGTGGCAGCGGAGCAACTGGAACTCCCAGACGTTGTTGGTGGGAATGTCAAGTTTCTTATAAAGCTGAACATAGGCCTCCCCTGTAACTCAACAGTTTCACTCCTTTTTAAGATAAATGAGAGTTTATGTTGAAAAGAGCCTTATAGCAGAATGTTCGTCACAGCTTTATTTATGATAGCAGGACAGCAACAAAAGAAACTGTAAACAGCCAGATTATCAACAGGAGAATGGATAGACAAATTGTGACCCATATTCATACAATGGAATGAATTACTGATACACATAAGAACAAGGATAAATGTCAAAGATATTGTGCTGAGTGAAAGAAGCCAATGAAAAAAGAGTACATACTGTATGAGCCCCATCACATGAAATTGTAATAGTTGGAAAACTAATGTCTAATGTCATAAATAAGATCCACAGCTGCCAGGGATGGGGGTGTGGACAGGGGTTAATTGGGCAGGGACAGGAGAGAAGTTTCTGGGGTGTTGGTAACATTCTGTATCTTGGCGTGGGTCTGGGTTCCACAGGTGTGCGTGTCTGCCAAAACTTAGGAAATGGCACATGTGAGATGTGTATTTTATTATATGTAAATTGTACCTTAAAAAAGGAATCACTTGCAACTGTGGAACTTTAGGTTATAATGTGTTTTGAGGGGACCTGTACTGATGTCTGAGACGTACTCTGAAATGCATCATCAAATGCATCATCGGAGGGCTAGAGGGACAGATGAACATGTGATAAAGCAAAGAATGTATAATGTTCATTTACAGAATCCAGATGATGGATATGTACGTGTTCACCATACAATGTTTTCAACTTTTTTGAATGTTTGAAGTTGGTTTTGTGTTGGGAAAAACTTTTTTAAGGAGATAAAAACAAGGAGTACCTTTAATGGTCCCCCCCACTGCCTACAAGATAAGTTCAAGCCCCTCATGCTGCTGGCATAGCTCTCTGCCCTAGACCACAGGTTCCTTTCATCTCCAGCCATGCAGACAAGCTGGTCTCTGCCGATCTTTGTGCCTTCACGTGCTGTTCCCCTGCCTAAAATGCCTTTCTTCCACCGGGTGAATTCCTACTCATCCTTCAGTAAGTGTGAAGCTACTGATCCATTAGGAGAGACCTCAAAGATTACCTGCTCTCTGGAGCCTCCTCCCCTCTGTGGTCCTGGGGCCTGGCACCCATCTCTTGCCTGTGGGTCCTCCTAGAGCTTCCGTCATCCAGACAGCACAGCGTGCGCCCATCAGCCGGCGTCACAGATAGCTGCTTTCACTCCTGCCGGACTGGGCTTCCTGAAGGCAGCCACCTTTTCCCTTGTGCATCCCTGGCGCCCCCCAATGAAAGTGTGCTGAGGTGAGAGGGTCTAGGCTGTCGACACTCTGGGCCACATTAGTGTTGGGATCAGGGCATGAAGTGCTTTCTCCTGTACCCCAAAAAGGGTGGTGAGGGAGCCCACGCCCCCCCCCCCATGTAACTGGCTGGGGAAGTGGGCACTCTTATGGGAGGTGAACTCTGTAACTCTGATCTGTAAACTCAGCTTTCCCCCAGGGGATTTTGGAAGCCAGGGGAGAGAAGTCCACAGGAGCCCATTCATAAAGCAAATGCCTTATCTGACCATCCTCTGACTCCTGGCGTTTGTCCTCAGTGGGCGAAGAACCTACAGGGGAGGAGGGATGTCATGAGCACCCCCAATCACTGTTACTGCTGTGTCAGTCAGCACAACTGTTGATAAGCTGAGCCAGGGGATCAAATGGGGATGAGAGAGGGCTGGGCTTGGGGGAGGGAGAGGGAGTGGCTCAGGGAGAGCCTCAGGGGCCAGTCCCTTTGCTGCTGCTCTCCCTTCTCCCTCCTCAGGGAGAGCCCTCCTCCTGCCTGCATTCCAGGACAGCAGCCATTCATTGCTCCAGCTGGATGTTTTACCCATTGCTTGTTCTCTCTGAACCTCCCCTGAGCTTCTGAGCTAGTCTGCTCACTAGCACTTGGGTGACCAGCTCGTTCAAGGTTCAAGTGGCAGTCCCCAGAGCCTTGGGTGGTAGAGGGCAGGTGTCTGCACGGAGGGCCTTATCTTCTGCATCAAGTGCAAGCCCTCCCTGCATCTCCGAGAACAGCACGAAGAGAGGGGCCCTGCTGGAACTTGTCCTGGAGGTCTAGAGACGATGCTCACTTTGCAGCCCTGGGCGCTTCACTGTGGGGATGTAGGAACACGTCACCTTGAGTTCCCAGGGTTAAATGAGAAGCTGTTATTGGCTCAGTTCAGTTAGTTGGCTGTAGCTTCAAGTGCTGTCTCCCTCCACACGCAGCCTTGTGGTCCCCAGGATGAAGTGCGGGAGCCTTGATCTTTGATTTCCTTCAGGGCTTTGCAGACAGCTTCCTCTGCACCCCCGCCTTGCACTCCTGGTGTCTGTCCTCAGACTGCTTCCTGACTTTGAATTTTCATTGTTTGTTTCTTCTGCAGTACCGTACGTGGGGAGCCTGGCTGAGGCCTCTGTGCTTGCTCCCTGCCCGGAACCTCCACCTTCTAGAATCTTCCAGGGCCCCAGGGTTCGCTAATGAGTTTTTTTATTGTGATAAGACATACATAATGTTTACCATTTTAACCATCCTAGGTGTACCGTTCATTGGCATGAGGTACATTCACAGTACTGTACAATCGTCACCATCATCCATCTTCACAACCTTCTCAAGTGGAAACTCTGTCCCCACTAAGCAGCTAGGCCCCATTCTCCTGTCCCCATAGTCCCTAATAACTACTATGCTACCTTCTGTCTCCGTGAAGTTGACAACTTTAGGTGCCTCATTAGGTGGAATCATCCCCCCAGTATTTGCCTTTTTGTGTCTGGCTCTTTTACTTAGCAGGTTTTCAGGGTTCGGGACTTCATTTCTTCTTATGGCTGAATAATATTCCATCATAGAGGTACACCATGTTTGCTACTGGGCCTTTAGAGAAATCATTCCTCTTCCATTTTTACTATATTTACAGTCACTCTCTCGAAGTATCTGGGATGTCTCATGGTCCCTTACAAGCCATTAAGTGAATCTCGGGCAACAGGGAATCGGGCCTCGATGGGGACATAGTCATGGCAGAAGAGCTTCAGTGGAAGGGCTTACCCTAGAAGTAGTGGCTAAAACCCATCAGACCTCCACTGAGTAGTCGGTGACCACCACATCCCTGGGGTGGCCTGCCCCGCTGTGGGCACAGTGAGCCAAGTGAGGAACCTTCTGTTGGGAACTGAAAAGTTTTGGATCTGCCCCCAGACAGTGCTGGGTCCCTGCAGACAGCCCTTTCTCCATCTCTCCTCTACAGCTCTCTCTGACTTCTTTGGACCCATTTCTTTCTTTTTGATTCAGCTTTTATAACATGAAGAAATAAGATGTTTCAGATGCGAGGAATGGCTGTCTGGTTCTGGTGTTCTAGAATGGGAAGAGACCCACTTGCTCCCTCAGAGCCCCTGGCCCTGCCCCACACATGCAGGTACATGCACACACACACGAGTGTGGCGGGAACGCAGGGCTGTTCTCCGAGATAACGTCTGTGGCATCTTGGGAGCTTGCCATAGGTGGGCAGCTGTAGGGCTCTGTGTCAGATTTGGGCAAGGCACCTGTCATGTTATCTATAAATCACTTTTTTTGGTGAGGGAGGTAGTTAGGTTTTAATTAATTATTTTAACAGAAGCACCGGGGATTGAACCTAGGACCTTGTACATGCTCAGCACCCACTCTACCACTGAGCTCTACCCTCCCCTGTCATTTTAGCTAGAGGGTGAGGTGAGCACACTCTTCCCCAAGGAGGGAGATGGAGGGGACCCGGGCCTTGGAGACATTCTGCAGCCATGGAGAAGGCCATCCCCAGTGCTTAGCCTTGGCAGCCATGTTCAGGCTGATTGCTTTAGTTCAGTCTGACTTTGTAACCATGAGTCATTTGAAGCAAGTGTTTTTCCCTGTGTTTATTATTTTTTCAATTTTGAAAAAAAATTTACTTTGCATTTCTGCTGCCATTTTTTAAAAATGTAGTAAATATTTTGCCCTTTTGTGTCTGACTCTTTTACTGAGTGTAAATAAATTAAATACATTTAAAAATAAATTAAAATAAATTTATTTTCTAAATTAAAATACCTTTTTAAAAAACCCAGAAGCCCTGGGGGAGGGCATACCTCAGTGGCAGAGTGCATGCCTAGCATGCACAAGGTCCTCGGTTCAATCCCCAGTGCCGCCATGAAAAATAAATAAATAAACCTAATTACTTCCCCCCTAAAACAAACAAACAAACAAACAAAAACCCTAAAATTCAGAAGCCCTAGCTGTGGCTGCTGGAAGTCGGGAATACTTACAGAAGTCCTTAAAGCCTTACACGGCCCCTGCCAGCAGTTCTAGATGGTACCTCCCCACTGGTACCCGGGCCCGTGGCAAATCAGAGGTGCCAGGCGCTCGCCGCGAGCCTGGGGCCGTGCTGTTGTCAGTGAAGGAGCAGTCCGTGCATTGCATCCCTGCCTCCCGGGCGTGTGGCCGTGGAGGACTCCAGGCTGATGTGTCTGTCTGTCTGTGTGTGTCGCTGCCTTTTGTATTTGATGAGGCGGAGGTTGTACCGTTTCTGTTGACAGCAGGGCTTATTTGCGACTTCCTCCCTGAGGCAGTGCGTCCCGTTTACAGTCTTCTGCAGCTACAGTGGGCACTGTCGCTGTAGGAGGAGCCCGTACAGCCGAGGTGGGCGCATAGCTGTGGCGCCCTGTAGAGCTGCGGGGCTTGCTCTAGCTGCCGGCTCAATCTCGCCGTCTGTGTGCGCAGGTTTCTGTGCTCAAAGCCAACTGCAGTCTGAGATACGCTGTACCGGGGAGTTTCTAATATGGTAGAAGGCGACTGTAGACTCATATGTAATCGTGATCTATAATTGTGAACTCAGAACGCAGGTGGGGGTACAAAACGCATTGTCCTTGATAATGAAGATCCTGTGAACTAGCCTCTTTGAACCGTTTCTCCAGTTGTGGGAAAGTAGATGGGGCTAGATTGGCATGAGGCTGGCATATTTGAAACATTTTTTATAAATTACATGAAAAATATGTGTTTATTGTTTCACCATCTAGGAAGAATCAGCAGTAACCAGTAATACTTCAGAGTATCTGCTTGCAATACATTTTCTGTGCACACAGTATGCATTTGTAAATATTTGTGTTTATTTTTATAAAAATAGGATCATGCTACCTTTCTTTAATGAATTCTTTTTCTTTTTTCCTCTTTCACCCCTTGACGGAGGCACTGGGGACTGAGCCCAGGACCTCATGCGCACCAGGCACGTGCTCTGCCACTGAGCTGCACCCCCAGTCCCGATACGCTACCTTTCTAAAGCCAGGATTTTTACTGAGTGATACCCTGAGTGTCTTTTTGTGTCAACCACTGCGTAATCTCAGGCTTTACTGTAACTTATTTAAGCAGGACCTAGTTTTATGCAGAGTTTTCTCCTCCAGCTTTTTACCACTGTACACAGTGCTGTGATGAACGTCCTCATCACCAAATGTATATTGTCTGTCAGATAAATTCCTAGAAGTTGTATGGCGGGGTCACAGGAAGTGCAGATTTTCTAAGATGCAGCTCTTTCTAAGATGCAGCTCTGCCAGATGGTATCCCATTACCTCTCGGCCGCCTTCCGTTTCCACCACTAGGAAGCGAACAGGTGCCCGTTGGCTGAGATACCCCCTTCGCTGGGTAGGTGAGTTTTGTTATCTTTGCACATTCGAGCAGCACAAAATGCTATCCTGTTGAACTTTTCCATTTCTTTGAACCGCAGAGGTGAAACACCTTTCACCTGGACATCTCATTGAGACAGTCTTAATGTACTGTGCGAGTTGCCTTTCCGTGCCTGTTTCCCGGTTTCCCCCAGCATCGGCGCCTATCCTCATTTACGTGGAAGGGCTCCTGTTACATTAGGGGTTAGTAAGCCCTTTTCAGACATTCCAGAAACATTTTCTTTTACGCACTCGTCAGCTGCTGAACCTGTGTGTTGCCTCCACATTCGGGCTTTTATGACTCACGCTGCAGCAAAGTCAGTGTACCAGTTTGTGCCGGTTTGTGTGTGGCTCTGTGTTGTCGGTCGTCTTGGGGACGGAATCTGGACGTGGAATTGTTCAGCCATATGGGAACTCAGTGTGTTCACCTTTGGGAGGAGCCATTAACCTGTACCATTTTCCATTCGCATCAGCCACGTCTGAAAGATCGAATTTCTCCACACCCTCAGTGACACTTACTTTCCTCTTTTGGACCCTGGCCTTCCTCGTGCGTGTGCAGGGCTATCTCATTGTCAGTTCCATCTGCAGTTCCCTGACGCCTCATGACGCTGAGGGTCTTTTCATGTACTTATTGGCCATTTGTCTGTCTCAGTCTCGAGATGTCTTCCCATCCTTTGTCCGCTTAAAAATTGAATTAGTTGCCTTTTCTCAAACCATCTTTTTCAAAAAAAATTTTTGTATTTTCTTATTTTGGGGGAGAGGAAGGTACTTAGGTTTACTTACTTATTTATTTTTAGACAAGGCACTGGGGACTGAACCCAGGACCCTGCGCATGCTAAGCATGTGCTCTGCCACTTGAGCCACCGCCTCCACCCTGAATTTCTTGCCTTCTGATTGAGTAGTAGCAGTTGTTTGTTCTCAGCACTGGCCCCTTATCAGACACAGGATTTGCAGGTGTTTCTCTCGTTCTGGGGGGTTTCTTCCCACTTTCTTGATTATGTCCTTTGAAGCAAAAAGGTTTTCTTTTCATCTTTTCATTTTTCAGGTTTACTGAGGTATAATTGACAAAAGTTTACAAATGGAAGGTGCACAAGACGACGGTTCAGTACCGCTATGCATTGCAAAATGACCACCACAGTGAAGCTAACGAACGTTCATTACCTGACTTAGTTAGCTTTCTTTTTTCACAAAGGTTTTTAATTTTTACATTGTCCAGTGGATCCATTTTTTTCCCTTTCGTTTCTTGTGCTTTTAGTACTGAAGTTTTTGCTTGTGATATGATCTTTTCCATTTCAAGCTTCCGGCTTTAGGGTCAGATTTAGAAAGCCGTTCCTTCCCTTAGGAAAATATAAATGTGGTCCTACGTTTTCTTGCAGCGCTTTTACGACTTCATCCACTTTGCATTGATATGGAACTTCCTTCCGTGGGTGGTATCGGTCTGGACAAGCGTACGCTATGCCAGAGGGACATCAGTTGTCCCGGCACCTTCTTTGCCTGGCAGGCATTTTGTAAAGGAACTGGATTCAACCTGTGCTCAGAGGAAGTGACTGGAGTTCAGTAGCCACACAGGGATCAAATCCATGACATTGGCTGACTTCCCTTCAGGTTCATGTAACCAGAAGGGATGGAAGGCTCTAGAATGACTGGGCTTTTCTTTTCTAATTGTTCCTTAGCCTCACAGGTTGTTCAGCTCACGTGCCCATGTGAACAGTGAGTCACACACAGGATGCGATCACATTTTTGTTGCGTAGGGAACAACATGTTTGTCATCTACTTAGGATACTGCTTTCATACAATGACAGATGGTGAGATAGTCAGGAATTCCTCAAGACAGAAGCATCAGACTTTTCAGTCTTTTGGATAGCCGAGGGGAGCCAGACCCTCTCTCCGTATGCCCCTGGAGCCGCGGTAGACGGGGAGTCGTCGTATTCACATTTCATGGAACACCTTCGTAGCTCATACTCATCCTGATTGAGAGGTTCAGGTTGTTGTGAATCCCCGTGATCAAGTATTAATAAGGAGAGACTTGAGGACACTCAGTTCATTCCACCTCGAGGTGAAAGAAAGTGTGGGTTGAGTTGCTCAGACCTACCTGGAAATCTAGCGACCTGAACACGTCAGCAGAGGATGCTGGTGAGGGGGCTCACCGCTACCCTTGGCAACGGCCACCCCCGGCAGAGCGGAAGGGCCCAGTGCTGGGTTGGTGCAGCAGGACGCCATGTCCTCACAGGTGACCTTGCTGCCGACATGTTAACGCACTGGGTGACTCATGTCCTCCTTTCTGCTCTGCTTTCTCTAGCAGTGGTGATTGTGTTTTTGAAAATGCCAGTGTTCCTTGTTTTATAAATAACCATTCATTTCCAATCAGGGCTGTCTATAAAATGCATTTAACTCAAGGATTCAGCCCCAGGTGGGAACATAGCAAACCTCATTTTCTCCCCCAAGACTCTTTTCTTTTTAAAATAGACTTTATTTTTTAGAGCAATTTTAGGTTTGCAGCAAAATTGCACACATCATAAGAGAGTTCTCATATACCCCCTGCGCCCACACACCCACAGCCTCTCCCTGTTAGCAGCAGCCCCTACATCTCCCCCAGACTCTTTGATTGTGAAGGAGATGTCAGAGGTCATTGCCTCTCGCATCCAAGAGCAGCTTCTCCGAAGATCCCTGGGCTCTGGGAACACAGTCTCTCTCCATTAATGAACACTATGTCCTGAGAAGAAGGGAGTGTTCCAGGCTAATTAATGTCCTGAAACGGCACCAGTAGCTTGTCATGGAGATGCTGTCTGGGCAGCGTGTGTGTATGAGAGTGTGTTTAGTTCTATGAAATTTTACCACGTGTGTAGGTTCATGTGACCACTACCACTGTCAAGAAAAAAACCCCAGTTCTGTCACCATAAAGATCCTTCCTGTTTTGCCTTTTTAATCGCAGCCAAATTCCCCTCCTTCACGCTCCCTAACCCCTGTCAACCGCTAATCTGTTCTCCATCTCTGATATTTCAGGCTCTTTTGAATTTCAAAAGAACTAGATAAGAGATTGTCAGCCTGCATTGGTTTATGTTCCAAGAACAACTCAAACTAGACGCCAAGCTGAAAGTGGAAGGCCTTAGCAAATACTTGATGATCACTTAATCCTGTAGCGTCTCGGAAGGGCACTGTCTGTGTACCAGAGTGACATGAACAGAAGCATCTGGATTTGCAGAAAAGCACGTGAAGGGCCAGGCACAGGACTAAAGGCAATTGAAATATGAACTGTAAATCTCTACGGGTGGTGGGATGATGAACTATTTTTATGCTAGTCTTTCATCCTTTTTATTAAATGAAGCCTTATATAACCACGTCTCTGTCATCAGATAAACAATACACTTCTTACAGGAGGCAGTAGATACATGGGACACACCGCGTTGTCACGCTGAGTCGGCTGGCCTGGGTGCTGGGCTCAGCTCCGCCACCTGCCGGCCAGTCCCTCACCTGCGCGCGTAGATGGGGGATGCTGTGCACCTGCCCCAGGGGATTGCGGAGATTCGACGGAGGGCCATGCGTGAGAACCAAGGATATAACACATTCTCGGTGCAGAGCCACTGTCCTTTCAGGAATAAAAAGTTCCACCTGGCAGCCAGGGTTTGGTGGGTGACGGGCGTAAGGAAGCAGGTCTTGCTACAGGCAGGGAGAGCCCGCAGGGGGCGTGCTGGCTGGAGCCTGTGGCAGAAGTGGAATCAGCGTCGGGAAGGAGCTGTCCGTCCTGACCCTGAGCTGGTGGTCACAGCGGACACTCAGTGCTTTTGTCCTTTCTGCAGGTGATGGCCGGCATGACAGCGATGACAGCTCTGATTCCGGTGAGTTTGAGTCCCGAGGGTTCTGCTGGAAACCACTAGGGGACAGTGCCAGCCTTCCCGACCCTTCCCTGTGTGTTTCTGGTAGAGAACCATGAGACCAGCAGCAGACAAATGCTGCCACTTGAAGGAATTAAGCGTGAATCTCTGGATCCTGGGGAGGTGGCCTCACAGGAAGCCCACTGGCCTGTTTGGGTCCCAGATAGGGAGGGGCTGCACCCCTTCCATGGCCACCTTTCCAGGTATTCAAAATGGAAATGCTTATGGAAAATGAGAAACACTTGGCAAATCCCATAGGGCACCATGTCCTCTTACTACCTTAGATATAAGTGGCATCAGCCTCTCACATTGGTTTGGGGGTCACAGGTATTTGGACAAGTTCAGCTCGGTGGCTGGGGGAGAACCAGGTGTCTGAGCTGATCCCCGGGGTGCCGTCAGCTTGACCTCACCTCTGCATTGCCCCCCCCCCGCTTCCGCCCAGGAATGTCGGCTGAGACAGGCACCATTGCTGGCGTTGCCAGCGCTCTGGCCATGGCCCTGATCGGCGCCGTCTCCAGCTACATCTCGTACCAGCAGAAGAAGTTCTGTTTCAGCATTCAGCGTAAGTGGATCTGCCCTGCAGCCGCTTGTGGCCATGCCCACGGCGGTTTCATCCCCTGACTCCTGGATGTGAACCAAGGGGCAAGGGCTTTAGACGGAAAGGGGCAGAACCCAAGCAGGTTAAGATTCAGGTCCCTTCCACAGCCTGCCCGAGCCCCTTCCCTGGCAGACTTGCCAGGATGAGGCGGAGGTGGAGCTGCACTTTTCAAAACCCTTGGGGACAGATCTGGGCAGAACTGAAGTGTCAACCAGCCTGGAAGAGAGGATGGGGCTGGACCCAATGACCTGGATCTTCCAAGGGTTCCAGCTTCCAGCAGCCCAAGTGACCTCTGGGCTTCTCCCTGGGTTTCCATGTGACTTTGGATCTCACCCAAGGGAACCCTCTCCTGCTGCCAGTGTCCTGGGGAGTGGAAGGCAGGAAACTCCAGGATCTCTGAGACCCAGCAGGCAGTGCTCTCATCCCCCTCAGATCCCAGGGAGTCACTGCCCGAGCCAGAGAACCTTAAAATATGTGGGATCATGAATTGTTTCAAATGAGCAGGAATGCCTCACCCCCAGCTCACTGCCTTTCTATGCTAGCTTTGTAACAGGTCGCTTTCACTGGATGCTGTAGTGGTGAGTCTGTATGTGGTGTGTAAATTGAGTAATTACAGATGGAATCTCTTAGGAGTCTGTGGTGGACGCCCCGTGTCGGGGAAGCCTCATGGGGATGCTGTTGAGGGTGAACAAGCTCATACTTGGTGTTTTATAAGCACAGCACTGGTGTTGCTGTTTGTTGAGTGTCTTGAGTTGAAAACGGGCGGATTTTTTTAGTTCAGGTGAGAGAGCCTGACCTGGCCATAGTTTTCCTCTTTCCTGCACCTCAGTGCCATCCTCTCTGAGGCTTCCTGTGCCCTCACTGGTTCTGGCTTCTGCCCTTAATTCTAGCCCAGAGCTGAGCTTCCCAGGAAACTGATTTGGGTCCCAGAATGCTTTGCATGTGGCTACTGCTGAAGTCTCCAGCTAGTTTATCAGCAGGCCATCACGTTTGCTGGTTTTACTCTTGGACAGTATTTGTGACCAGGGCTGCCACGTGCAGCTCCTTAGGCTGTGATCCAGGGATACCATTATACATCTCGGTGCACAACCTGCACAACTGTTCATGGCTGCCTGGCTTGAGGTCCTGTCCGTCCACTGGGCATCCAAAAGCTTGGCTGTCGCATGGTGCAGGCAGGCAGAGTCAGGAGTGCAGAGCTGCAGGTTGGATCACCCTTAGAGCGCTCACTTGCCCCAGCTCAAAGCAAGGAAACCGAGTGGCTTAAGACAACAAATCTGTTCTCTTGCAGTTGTGGAGGCCTGGAAGTCCAAGAGCAGGGTGTTCACAGCATCGCTTCCTTCTGGAGGCTCTAGGGGAGGATCCTTCCCGGCCCCCTTCAGCTTTTGCTGGCCCCAAGCATCCCTTGGATTATGGCCACATCACTCCAGTTTCTGCCTGTGTCTTCACATGGCCTTTTCCTCTGTGTCATTTTCTGTCTCTTCAAAGGGCACCTGTCTTTGGATTTAGGGTCCACACTAGTCCGGGATGATCTCTTCTTGAGATCCTTAACTTAGTCACATCTGCAAAGACCCTTTTCCCAAATAAGGTCACATCCACAGGTTCCAAAGATGAGGATGAGGACACATCCTTTGAGGGCTGCCATTCACCCCAGTTCAGCACTGATACCTGAACGGTGAGACGAGTGCAAGCCACGGTCGTCAAATCCCTGCCCGCTGCACCGCTGCCCAACAGTGCCCAGCGCTGAATGCGCCGCCCCGCCCCGAGCGCCCCTACAGCCCTGGGCTGCAGCAGCTATGGGCACCGTCAGTTAATGGATGAGGAAGCCGAGGCAGAGGGGATTGTTGAAGGAACTGGCTCCACATGGGAAGCGATGAATCCAGGAAGGGTGCCAGGAAGTAGGAGTGGGGAGGGGAAAAGAGGTGGATTTCCAAGGGAAAGAAGGAGATGTCTGGGTTGGATCTGTTTGTCTCTGTGGCGGGGAGTGGGGGAGGCAGGAAGGTGAAATGAAAGTACATTATTTTCACACTTGTTTCCTAAAACAAACAGGTGTGAGGTTTTGCAAATTGGATTAGCAGGCCAAGCCCAATAAAGTATGAGAACATGAAGGACTGGGTAGAAATTGTTGAGCAATTTAAATGCTGTTTGGGAGAGAGTAAACCAAAAAGGGGGGGGGCGTTGCCGACAGCTGGAAGGCTGGAGGATGTGGAAGTGGCCTCTCCCTCCGGGGGCGGCCTCAAGGTGAGGGCGTTGCTGGGCCGGCGGTGGGGCTGCGGGCCGGGAGGGCCAGCGTGCTGGCAGGGCTGACGGGTGCTCCCCCAGCCTCTCCCGGCCCTCCGCTCCATCTGAGGGTGGGCTTCCCAGGCCTTGCCCTTCGGTCTGTCAGTGACGTCACTGTCACTGCTGAGCCCACACTGTCTTGAGTCCCTCACCAGAACACTCGTCAAGAACTGTCATCACCCCCAGTTCACTTAGATGGGAACCAAAGTGTGGCATATCTGCCACATTTGAAAAAGATCCCCCTTGCTTCTGTATCCTCCCCCTGTGCTACCAGCATTTTCTTCCAAATTTGTAAGTTGTGTCTGCTCCTGCGTCTGTGGCCTCTTCTCACCAATTCTGCCAGCCCTCCTGGGTCCTCCCAGCCCCTACCTCATGTCAGTGGGGTCCCCACTCCTGGGGGTCGTGGGTAGCTCTGCTCTAGGGCCACGCTCTCCATCACCAGTGCCCCGATCCTGCCTGTCTAGGGCCAGGTCTTCTTGCCCCTCCGTCTAGATGGTTCCATCAGCCTCCTGCCTGCCTCAGTCTCCCCCATGGTTCTCCCTGCTCTGAGCAGCCAGAGGGTCCCACTTAAAATACACAGGGATGGCTCTGCGTGGCCCTCCCAGTCTCCCCACTGCTCTCCAGGTCGTGGTCTGGCCCCTGAGCTTGATGTCCAAAGCCCTTCATGGTTTGGCTCCAACCATATCCCTTCTCCTCCCCACCGTGGTTTCCTGGTCCCTGCCCATCCCCAGAAGCCTTTCTCCACAGCCACTCTCACTTCCCTGAGCATGCTCTGCTCTCCCCATCATCCTCTTTGGTGTCCTCTCCCCTCACCGAGCTGCCCTCATCCTTCGGGCCTGGGGCACCATCCTCCCAGCCTGGGGGCCGCCCGGCGCCCCCTGCTACCCTGGTGCCCATCTGGGGCCGATTGGGCTTGCTGGTTTCCGTGTCTGTGACTGCCACCCCATCCCCCATCTCTGGACTGTCAGCTCCTGGGGAACTGTGTGTCCTTCATCCACTGATGTGTCCCAGGCACCTAGGTCGGGCTGGAATCAGGAGGAGCACTGTGGGTGTTTGTGCGGTGGCTAAGCCCCAGAGAGGCTGGGAGTTGGGACTTCCCAACCTCACCCTTTCTGCCAAGCCGCCCCTGCGGGAAGTCGGGGAAGGTAGAGCAGAAACGGCTTCTGCACCCAGCACTCGGGGAGGGCCTGGGGGATGGCACGTGGCTGCTGGGATGGGCCTGACCCCGCCGTGGTGCTCAGGGGCTTCTGGTCTCTGCTGCCACCAAAGGGGTCCTGGCCTTGGGGACCCTCTGCTTCCCCTGTTTCTGCCCTCAGTGCCAAGGGTCAGCAGCATGTCGTGCAGAAAGCCCACGTGGTTTGTTTGGGGGCCGTGTTCTTGCTCCAGGCTCCTAAGCTTTGTGTCTTGCCTTCAGATGCAGCAGAAGGTCAAGGTAACGACGTGCTTTGACTTACTCATTTTCCTCTTCTGCTTTGGCCTCTACACTTCACTGTCCGCCCCTCCCCTCCCCACTGCTCTTGTTCCTTCTCGCCACTCTCCACCCCATCCCCTTCCCAGGCACTCACCAACTTGGCTGTGACCCCAACCATCTTTAGTTCTCCCTGACACGTGTGGGAGGCTGGGTGCAGCTGCATTTCAGGGATGCTGGGGCAGGGGTGGAGATCCTGACCGGAACTCAGATGCCTGCTGGTGGTCATCCCTGAGGAGCAACCAGAGGGCGGCCCGCGGGCACTAGACAGTCCAGCACATGGCAGCCGGGTAGTGATCAGAAGACTCAGGGCTCATCTCCTGGTCCCTGCCCATCACCAGGGAGCATCTCCCACTAACTCCTTCACCCATCCTGCCCTGCCAATGAGCAATACCTGCATTTTTCCTGGGCCCATCTGGTATCCATTTTGAGCCCAGCAAGCACCAGGGCAGGCAGGCGTCCTTTTCTGTGCAAGGAGCCTGAATGCGACCGGGGGTGGCAGGGTGACATATGCTGGTACCTGCTCCGTCATTTGGCTTGTTAGAACCATGGCTCAATTCTCCCCGCCAAGGCCCTGGGCTCTGATGGGGTTTCTAGTCTCTGGCTTCTCTGAGGATAAGATGTGGACTTGACTGTCCCTAAGCAGCAGCAGGGGCAGGGTCCACTCCGAGCCCTGAGCGCTGGCCTTGATGTCCAGCATGTTACCAGTCAGGGGCCTGAGTGCTGGCAGATAGAGGATGCTTGTAAAGTTCCTGGTCCCTCTCAGACGTTGGTGGCGAGAAAGCCCAAGTAACTAAGTGGACTAGAGCAGCTAGCAGCGGGCCCCGGGCCCTCCGCACTGCACAGGGACAGCACCGCCTCCCGTGCCTGGAGGAGCCGGCCGGCCTCTGTGCGGGGGTCGCTGGCATCTCTGCAGGGAGCCCACCCAGCCGTCCGCCCTGCCTCCATCAGTCATTCACATGGTGCTTGGCCCCCTCTCCACCTCCCTGGCCCCTGGGCCAGCACGTGGACCCATAGGTCGCGTTAAGCCCTGTCATCAGGTGTCCCCTCTGCTGGGCAAAGCTGCTGGGTGGCCCACAGTCTCCCACATGGTGGCACCCTCCCAGTGGGGATGGGACGTCAGGGGCCTTTGCCTCCCAGCTTTTCTGAGGATGATGATGAGAACTCCTGGGCCAGGCAGGCCATTCCCAGCCGCCCTTCACCCAGATGAGGGGATGAGGACGTTTGGGGGGCCCAGGGTGCAGGGGTCTGAGGTCGTTAAGGGAGTTGGACTTTTTCAGCGTCATGGAGGCTTGGTCAGGAGTTCTCCATCATGCCCAGGGAGCCTCTGGTTCTGTGTCAGCCACTAACTCCGCCCTTTGCCTTCTGCAGAGGGTCTGAACGCGGACTATGTGAAGGGGGAGCACCTGGAAGCTGTCGTGTGTGAGGAGCCCCAAGGTGAGGACTGGCCTTGGCTGAAGCCTCCTAGCCTGTGGGCCCAGCCCTGAGCAGCAGCGAAGTGCAGAGGTGCCTATTGCTAGAATTTCCAGCCAGGGGTCCCTTTACTGTGCCCGGACGAGCCAGACTCCAGCTTCATGATACCAGGGATGCAGGGGCCCCAGTCAGGGCCATCTGCCCTTGGGTCCCTGAGCCTGAGCCCCTCTGCTCCCTGTCAGCGGAAAGAGACGCACCTTAGACAGGTGCAATTACGATTAGAAAATTGCCAAAGGCAAAAGGGAAGTTGGCTAAAACACGGACCCTATTATGGGATCCCCTAGCCCCGCCTCCCCTGGCCTCCCCGCCCTCTTCTGTGGTGATGGAGCACTGTCTGCGCAGGGTCAGGTTGCCAGCCTGGAGCGCCCAACCTCTCAAGGCAGGCAGAGCGTGTGGCCCCAGTGAGGCGGTCAGGAAAGCCTTCCTGTGGAGAAGGGGAGCCAGCTGGCTTTCATCAGTTGAGGCCGGGGAGGGTGTGGCCAGGGCGACGGAACTACAGGCAGCAGCAGGAGGGACAGGCGGCGTGTGATGGGGCGGGGGGCTGCGCTAGCTCACTCAGGGCCGTACCGCGTGCGGGAGCGCCACGCTGGATGGGTTCAGTAGCCCTGGATGTAAAACATGAGGAAATCGACTCTATAGCAGAATTCATAATTTTTTGATTAAAAATAAACTTTACAATTTTTAAATAAAAAAACTTTAAAAGTTTTTAAAACTCTTGGCCACCTTTGTGTGAGCGTCTCCCACAGGCCAGGTACTGTGTTGAGTTGCTTTATTGAAAATCCTCCTCCCAGCAACTCCACCAGGAGCATTCCCGCTTCACAGATGAGGAACTGGAGGCTGAGCTGGTTCCAGGGTCTGTCCGCTTTGTCCTCATCTCCAGGGTGTGGAGCGGGCGCCAGAGGCGAGTTGTCCAGGACAGCCAGCCAGGGAGCCAGGTTTCTGTTCCCAGAGGGCGTCAGCTATCTGCGTCATCCCCGGTGCGGGCTGGGGATGATCCCCTGCTAACGGGTGTCTCCTCTTCCTAGTGACATACTCGGCGCTGCAGACGCAGTCCGCGGAGCCGCCACCGCCCGAGCCGCCCCGGATCTGAGGGCGCGTGCCGCGCCCTGCTTCTGGCTTCATTTGGACCCCCAGCTGCCACACTGCTCCTTTGATGTCATTGGCTTCTTGTCGTTCTCAGTTTTCCGGATGAGCTCTGGTGTTTGTGAGTTTGGTTCCTGTGCCCCTGCCAGCTTCAGGAGCCGCAGAGTCGCTGACTCCCCAAAGCCATCCCGTCCCCAGGTCTCGGTGAGCTGGGGAGGGTGGGGGCCCAGAGGACGCTTCTGCTGCGGGACAGGAGTTTGAGCCCAGGGCGGTGTGAGCCCCTCTACACCGCACTGACTCATTGGGCGGGTTTCTGCCCAGAGGCAGTCCTGGACGAGAGCAAAGAGCTGTCGGCAGGGGCCCAGCTGGCGCCTGAGTCACCTGGAGCCCCTGCGAGGAACCAGCCACTGCACAGCAGGTACCACCACGCACACATCACACCTGGACGTGTCTTTATTTCCATCCTTCTCTCCAGCTCCAGCCCTTATACACCTGGGCTTCTACAGAGCTGGCCCGTGCGGTGGCTTGTCATTTATTTAAGTACAAACATGCATGTCACGGTAGCCTGCCCCGAGAGTTCAGGAATCTTCTGGACATGTAGAGAGCTGTGGCTCTCAGGCCTAATTCCCATCTGATTCCAGGGGACTAGGCGTGGTCTCCAGGCTGACATGATGAGTTTCGAGGACTCATTCGTGACGTGGAGATGACTCTTATACTGGGGAGGGGCGTACCCCCCCCATGCGTGTTCTTGTTTTGATAGCAAAAGGGCCCGATATCACTATGGGCGAGCATCAAAGCCTGAAGCATGCCCGTTGTTTACTTAGAGATGAATGCGGGGCTGGGGAGGGGGGAGGGAAGGGAAAAGGGACGTTCGCTTGGTTTGGGAAATACACCTGACTTAGGAAGTCGCTAGTGACCTGTCCTCCTCTGATGAAGAGCGCGTGGGAGCCTGTGGGCACTGGAACTGGCCTGGAGCTGCCTGGTTTGGGCTGGAGCTGAGCTGCCTTCTGGAAACACTTGTCCAGCCCACATGTGGTCCTGCTCCTGGGGGCTCTGCTGTCAGGGTCTGAGCTGGAGTCTGGAGCCCCCATCTACTGATAACCAGTCAGCAAGAAGGTGGGGTCCTGTTTACACCGCTTCACGTGCGGCGCAGACAGCCCTACACGTTCCATGGAGCTGGGATGAGGCACTTCCGACTTCCTAGGGAAACGGCTGAAGTCTGAACAGACCCCGCAGGGTGCGTAGTGCCTGCCTCGTGTGTCCATGTTATGTAGAGCGTGTCTGTGGGCCCTGCCAGACAGGCTGGGTAGCATGTGGCCAGGGGTGCGGAGCACCAAGGAGACACCTCTGCACGGTGCCCTGAAGGAAGGAAATCGTGCCCCACCGCACCCCGTGCCCTAGGAAAGGACCAGCGGGGACATTGTGAGGTTTGCCTGTTTCCGGTATGCCCCCGCCCTCGTAGGCCACATTGCTGTCAACTTTGCCAGGCTGGTCTCTCTCAAGGATGGCGAGGGCCAATACCCCCACCCTTGCAGCCTGCTGTCACCTAAGGGGGAGCTCAAGGCCCAGGGAGGGCCCGTGTCCTGAGTAACGGAGTTGGGCAGGAAGCCGGGCAGCGCGCAGGAGGTCGGCACGTCAGAAGTGCTGCTCAGAGCCGTCCCGAGGCATGTGAAAGGAAGCGAGGCAGCACTTAGGTGAGCAGTGAAATGCTTCTCTCCCTGCCACCGCGAGGCTGGTCTGATGGCGAAGCCCCTGAAATCCTAGCTGTCAATCCATGTTCTCAGCGGCGCTGACTCTGGTTGAGAGACCCATTTTGCTCTTCCCTATCTCTGTGCCTAGTGAAGGGACAGGCCTCGGAGATCACTCAGCCACCCGTTTGCAGAGCTCTGGGCCTAGGGGTGGGGCGCTGACACGGGCAGATGCCATGGGGCTCTCGTAACTGTGTCAACCTGAACGCTGCACTGGCCGGCTTGGGCCTTCCCAGGTGGTTCGCAGAAACAGGGAGCTAGAAAGGCCGAACGCAGTGTCCGTCGCCACCAGCCTAACTGGCTGGGGGTGGGGGGTGGGGCTCAGTGTTCACAATAACTGAGCTGGTGGAGGAAGGAGGCAGGGCAGCTTAGCGGGTGGGATGCCCTCCCACCGTGGCACCCAGAGTGGGGCCAGGCCCACTGCCTTGGCCACTGGGTTTGGGGGTACCAGGTAGTTCTGTGAGTTAGGGGAGATGGGAGGCTGATCTCAGAATCCCCTGTACTTTTTATGTGCTTGTGTTTAAGTATGAATTGTAAGCTGTCTCACGTTTGCATTAAACAAAATGGAACCTACCAGATCCCTGTATTCTGACCGTGTGAAGGCACTTGCTTTGTCAAGGGATGCTGTTTTTTTCCTTAATTCTACGAAGCCGACCTCATTCCCCTCCTCCCCAGCCAAAGGCATTTCTCAAGGTCAGAGTTCTCCAAGTCCCCTCTTGACCAGCGGCTTAGTGTCAGGCTTCTTGGTGCGCCCTGCTGACAACGATGTCGCGGGGGCAGGGCGGGCAGAGGCAAGTTCCCACT